AGCTTCCGCTAATTCGAGTACATTGCTAAATGTATTTTATATTAAATCTCATAACAAGCAAATTCAGACAGCGCTAAGTCAAATGTACGCTAACCTGAAAATTGAATTTCCGCCAAATATCGTACACGCCAAATGTTATACATTTGCAGTATATAGGGTAGTTCGAATTCATTTTAATTCTGTTGAATATTAACAATATTTAAAACTGACATATCATTTTGAAGAATTTCTTTCTTAGATAGTAATTAGATTTCCAGGAAAAAAGAATGTTAAATGCATCATACATTTGTTTTTTAAATGTTGAACCAACTAATGCCACCTCTAATGCCAAGCACACCTCTACCAAGACTGAGTGATTTCTATTGCTCATTATACACATGGAAATAGTTTGTCTGGGTATTTTATCCAAGAGGAGAGAAAAATATTTTCAAACGAGATGAATTTGAATGCATAGCAAGCAAAACCCCAAGCTGTTTTTATCTATATCCTAGAATTTTTCAAGTAGAGTGTTGACTTCTCTTAAACGAAAACAGTCGTCCGTGAGATGTACAGGAATATAGATAATTGCATAAAAAAGATTGTTTTGATTCAAGTTTTCATATATCTATTATCATGGAATGACGTCTTTCTTTTTTTTTCCTTTTTAAACAGGTCGGTAGATCGAAGTCGAATGGGAAAACATTCCTCCCCCAATTTTTTTGGAAAACAGTCTTGCTAAAGTTTAAATATTATAATCCATCTATTATTTGTTTGTTTCTTATACATTTATTTGCAGTTTCGTAAATCTCTGGAAAATTCTTGCATCTAGATTAAGTTTTACTGAAAAGTCCACCTCGAATCTCGACAGTTGAGTGGGGTGGGAAACTATCACAAATCACGGACCTAGCTGTCAAAAGCAATATAATCGTTATTCCAAAAGCATAATAACGCCTTTAAGAAGGTGTTATACCACCTTTCAAAGGTGTAATTTCGCCACATAAAAACATTTATTTGGTTGTATTTTACGTTTTGGCTAGATTTTCTATTAAGTTCTTTTGACCTCTGATAAGAGAGATAACTTTGGGTGATTCATGATTTTTTTGTTATGTGAGATTGAACTCGCCATGTATGTATTTCTACAATTACTTCCTATCCCGTTAAATCTTTCGTTAATATACGTATAAGTACAGAATATTATCTGGAACACGGAAGTTTTTTCTCTTTTTTTTCACGAATAACCTAACTTCGTAGTTGTGGGGTTTTTTTTGTTTATCAACAATTATAAGTAGTTATATTTCTAGTCGTATCATAAACAATACAAGATGTATTAAAATGACTCTATATGTCACAATATAAATCATTTTCATGGATGATACTAGGTAAGTAACTTATTTCATTTTCTCTAGTCTTTTTGTAAACTATCTAATGCGAGAAAATATTTTATGTAGAAAGAGCAATAAGTCTGAAGGAAATCAATTTCTATGAACTAGTACGCGATGAGGGGAAATGAAATGTATTGTAGTGATACATTGATACATACATTACAGTTATCTCCGTATCCTTCATTGCATTACACAAAGATAATATTTCAACAGATTGCATTTTCCATGTCACAAGAAAATTCGATCAGTTTTTCCTTAAATTGTTATTGATTATTACAAGGATATCTGAAACTCTTCTAGCTGACTTAATGTAAAGTACATTTACGCAAGAAAAAACAAAGATTTTTTTTTCCTACTCATGCTTTTTGTGGAAAATGTAAATAAGACATCCATTTATGTTTGGAGCATGGGTACAGTTGCATAACTATTTTATTGTCCATTTTAAATTTCCATTAAAATATCTGCAGTTCACTTTTTAAACTTAGGTAAAAATTCTTAAAAACCAATTACAACGGCATAATTAAAACCTGTTATAAAGCATCTATGCATGTGGAAATTGGCATGGATTCTTTTATTCATCTATGTATTTATTTTTCTTGTATTGTTATTTGTTTGTTTACGTTTGATTTGCTACCTCTACAAACATAACTGAACGCGAATTAAAAAATGTCAAGACTGTGTCCTTTTCCCTTTCGGTGAATATCATTTCAATCAATTTTCCTTTTTACTTTAATATAAATATATGCTAAAATGAGATTCAAAACTGGTGCCTTTCCTTCTTATGTTTAGTTTTCTTTTATTTAATACATGTTAAACGTTTATAGCATTAAAAATCTAAATTACGTTACAAGTCCAAGGAGACTTACCTTTGCTACAATAATTATTATTTTACATTTTTTATATAGAACAAGGAAGACTGATAATCAATAAAATGCCCAGAATGTTAGAAATAGTGTTTTTCTCCTTCATTTGCGTAGGTAAGTTAAATACAGCTATTATCCTTCTGATTAACATTTTTGACTCAGTAAACACTTTGACAGGCTTATGAATTTGTGAATGAAATAAAATATCTTGATCAAACTGAGGATAATGATAATGATATATGTAATATATTTATGGTGTAAATAATGGGTTTGCTAGTTTGCGTTACTTTATGACAGCTAATGTACAAATATTTCTAAAACATCAAGAGTCCAAGCTAGTATGTGTAAATTAGACATACTGACTGACGTTTTTCATACTACTTATTAGTCCATTATTTATACACTGAATTTTACCGTAATTCCCCGATCATGACAAGGAGAACACGGCGGGTGTGGCCGGTCAGCAGGGGATACTCACTCCTCCATGGTACCTGATCCAACCTCTGATGTTTAGGAGGTCCGTGTTTGCTTTGCTTCTGTTTTGTATTGTTTTATGGACTTTGATATTGAATACTGTTCGTTATCTCTATATCTTTCTAAACAAGAACTATTTTATGCAAAAAATTGTTTATTCTCATAGGAAATGATAAATATTGTGCATTTAAAATAAACCATAGACTCGTAAAGGTTAAGAAAACATATATCGTGTCAATTTTGCACAGATGTGTTTTGTTAAAGATATGTATGCCGTGTTAAACAGTATTTTTGCACAGCTGAAACCGAGCAAAAATTTCTGAAGTATGATAAGCTATCAAAAATGAAGCATTCTTGCAAATTCGACGAAATTTTATTCGGTATTAACAAAGTAATGGTCGGGAAAGGAACACGATATTCTCATGCATATTTATAAAGGACTGACATGTATCCTGGATCTGCGCATGTGCGCGGGAAAAACATCGCGAGAATCATCAGGTCGAGGAAAATATTTTTTGTGACGTCTGTTCAGTGAGGAACACAAATAGACCAATCAGCTCAATGAGTTGCATTTAATGCATTTATGGGTTACTACATGAAATACTAAATGTGTTTTTCGAAAAGGCTAGTTTTTTAAATCGCTCTCGGAAAGACTTGATGCTTTATGTACATTATTATCTACTAATTCCATGCTCATATTTGCATACAAATGATTAAAAATGATGAAAATCAAAGTTTTCCCCACTATATTGTACAGGTCCGTTTGTTTAGAGATTCCCCGTGCTATACTGCCAGTGGACATTTTCAGTTGGGTGAATATTTACAAATTAGCGACTACGGATCTTCATTATGGAGCGCATTATGCGAAAAAATATTTTATGTCAAATACAATGTATATTAAGTAATTTAAACTGCTATTTTTACACAGGTACCCTGAATGGGATATCGTCAATTATCCCTTAGGTATTTTTAATATGAACTACATAACATATGTAGATGAAACTTACATACCATACATCTTGCCTTCTTAGAAATATGGTTGGGCTAATAAAATAAAATTGGTCTAGGAATTCCAGGCCCCTAAAAACTATTCCAGTTTGAGGGCACAACCAAGCATTTCGATGAACCCCATTAAGAAATATTAATTCAGGTAGATAGCAACGTTTTTTAAAGTGGGTGGGGGATAGAACAGTTAGAATAAAAACCGACTAGCTCGAAGAAACCTGGCAAGTAAAATAGGTTCCAATATCTTTCACTTCTAAATTTTATTCATTCACTACAACATTACCCTATTTAACTTTACTGCCAAACTCCAAATTTCACTTTCGAATTAGCCCGAGCCAATGCTGAAAAGCTACTTGCAAGATTTTTTATATTATTTTATATTATTTTCAAGGGGTCAGAAATACTGTGGTTCGTATGTAGAGAATATATTTATATTATTTAGTAGTATTCTTGTTTTGGTATTCGGTATTTTGTGCAGATTTATACATGATATTCTGTGGAATACTTCTTTTTGTTTTGAACCGTCAAGAAATGCAGAATCGAATGTATCTAATAACCATTTTGATTCATCAAATTATATCATTTGTTTGTATTAGTTTACTCAGTATTCATTTTGGCACAACATGGTTTCCACACGTCTTTATCCATAGTGGCTGACAGCTGTAGAAGTTCACCAAACCGATTGAAAAGACAATTGCACGTGATTATTCCTCGATACAAAAAGCAACCAACTCTGACGTGCGCTCACGTATTGACAATCCCTAACTCACGTGTTTGTAGTAAAAACGTAGTAGACCATCATGCTTTTCGGTTCATTCATGAGATGGGACCATTGTTTGCGAGACCACGTGATCATGAATATTTCAATAAGAGGCGGTTTTTTATCCGACACGGAGAGAAAATAATTATTACCAAATAATTTTTCATAACTTTTGAAAGTGATGGAGTGGAATTGTCTTATTTGCAGAAAGTATATAACTTATATAACTTGATGAGACTCCACATATATTTATTTCTTTTCAAATAAAACATTGATACGGCATATATATCTTTAATAATTGTCTGCTATCAAATGAACCAATAATCCTGTGAGCATCTTTCATATTTTTATCAAAATTGTTAGTAGGGTTGTTAAATCTTTTGGCCTCACACTTGTAGACATGTGACATTGAGGAAAGACTGTAGCCGTTCAATGGCAAATATCTTATGTATTGTTATGCTTTATTTAAATAAGGCTGATTACATTGTGTTTGTTTTTGTTTTTCTTCAGTTATTATATTTAATTCTTTTTACAGGATGCTCAGGAAATTTTGTATACACAGAGCCCGGAGAAGACATTTGCTTCACATTTTCGTTAGTAGAAACACAAGGTGTACAATACATCTCCAGAAATGGCTTGATAATATGTTTTTATCTTTCTAACTCTGTTTACCGAAATACAGGCGGATGGATTAATAGAACATTTAATTGTAATACAACGTCAGAACGGATTTCTATTTGTATTAACGATACACAAGAAGAAGATGCCGGGCACTTCTCCTACAGAATAGGCATTACTGACTACAGAGAAAACTTTACACTAGCTATTGCTGGTAAGAAGTAGTGTCTATTGTGTAACGTAGAATGAGCTATACAAGAAAAATTTTATTACTTAAAGAAATTTTATTATCCATCCAATATGCTTACTTGTCTAATGAATTCTTTTGCCAGGTTTGTCATAGAAAGAATCTAGATACAAAATTTGACAAGCCTTTACTTCTAAATATCCTTAGTTTCATTATTTTCACTCTTATCACTTAAATGACCATTCTATTAAAATGTTTTAAACTGCCGATTTCAATGCATTATAATGTAAACGAATAAATACATAAGAAAATGTTCCCTTTATTACTATGCACCGAAATTTTCGTCACCGTTTTTTTCCGCCCTTTTCGCCTTTGTCACGTGCACAAATTAAAAACGAAGGGAATTCAAAAATCATCGTAATTTCATAAACAGAACTGTGGTTAGGCAAATTTAAAACGGGATAAATTTGTTAGCAACTGTATACAGGCAAAGTGACTCGCATGAACTTCATATGAAATTGCATTAATATACTGCGATTTCTTCGCATTAGAAGGATACGAAAACGACCAATTATGATATTCGCATGAAAATTACTATGAAATTTTTACATGAAATTCGCATAAATATCATTTCAAAAAAAAAAAATCAGGTTTCATACATGTAAGAATATCATGCGAAGACAAGTATATTTTGTATCCAAAGAAATTGAAAATTAATATGAAGCTATTATTTTTGAGTTCTTTAAAGCTCTTCCATTAATTGTACCCTTACTTTGAAAAGGAATCTATTTTTTTGACAGTTCCTGTACAGTGTAAATAATTAAATTTTGACAATTCCAGTAGATTTAATATTTCCTCTTTTTCTTATTTAGTCTGTTAATCCAGACACAAATATTGAATAATTAAACAAAAAAATTACTTTGAATTTTTTAGAAGCAAAACTTGTTTCTTCACTCCCTGACTAAATGATATACAATTATAGCCTTTTGATGAGGTCAATCCCTCGATATATAGACCTTAGAGAAAGTCTTCACTTCATTTTCGGTCGATATGCTTTTTCTAAGGTCTATATATCGAGGGATTGCACCGAATCAAAAGGCTACAATTGTTTTATTATTTCTTATCAGTTAATAAGAAATGTCTTAAAATCCTTTTTTCTAATACTCAGTACCTTCTCATACAAGGCATTGTTATGTCATTGCATTATGACGTAACCGTAATGAAAACCAGCTGCAGTATCTGTTTTTAGAAACATCCAGTCTATAAAGACTATTGTGACGTCAGCACTATTGTTGCTTCACAGAAGAACGTTTCCAAATTAAGAAACAGCAGGTTTATAAAATTTTTTGAATAGAAACATCGAGTTTGTAACATTTTTTAAACTTGATCATGTGATCCAGTGTGAGCCAATCAGATAAATGGAACAATACCGAAAAATAATAAAGACACTTATGACATTTACGTCAACCTCTACGTTGAAAACTGAAACCATTGATCTTTGTCTATCTTCTTTATTTAGGTTCTTATCACATAACATTTCTTTATCTTGAGGATTCTGTTGACGGGGGTGTTGTAAGAAGAAGGATATGGAGATTACGAACAGTATTCAATCTCAAAGTCCATAAAAAAATTCAAAATATTAGCAGAGCAAATAAGGACCCCCGAAACATCAGAGGTTGGATCAGGTGCCATGGAGGAGTGAGCATCCCCTGCCGACCGGTCACACCCGCCGTGTGCTCCTTGTCATGATCAGAAATTAACGTAAAAAAAATACGTCGTCAATTCAGTGTATAAATAATGGACTAACAATTGGTATGAAAAACATCAGTCAGCATACGACTCAGTGATAAATTGTATTTGCTGACAAGGTCATTGTATCGACCATAGAACTTACGAAATGATGACTTTAAACGAGACTGTTGATATTCTTATTTCATCAACTTGCTTGTCAATAATTTACCTCGTTTTAGAAATTGTTCGTACGTAGAGCATGTTCTTGCGTATCGAATCAACTGAGATATATAGACTCCGTATGCATGTGATGAAGGTATATTGCTGCATAAGTAGGGGAAGTTGACGATAGAAAAGTTAAAGTCATCACGTTTATCATATAGCTTGGTTGTTAGATTACCATTAGTGTCTTTTTCAAGTAAAATATCCAAGTATGAAACAGAAGTATCGGACACTGTGGTATCTTTTATCTCAAGCTTACCAGGATATATCGTATCGACGTAGGAAGGGGAATTACCATTTTTAATTGACAATACGACGTCGATATATCTAAATGTCGAGTTGAAGGCCACAGCAAGTGTTTTCCCCGTTTCACGCATTAGATTTTGCATAAATTCTGCTTCTAATGAATATAAAAACTAGTGCTAATTGTAACGGGGACCGTTACAGATGTTCCCCAAACGTCCCCCAACTCCCTTTTGGTGCCATATTCGCAGTAAGCTTCATTAAATAAGACAAATTCTATGCATTTGAGACTTTAACATCGTTTACCCAATAGTGTACCAAGTTCATTCAAATTTTAGCATTGCACGCGTGTGCATTTGAATTCATGTGCGTAACGACCATATCATCTTGTCTACACAATCTATGTATTTTAATATGCTAAATTTTAAAGTATTTAATCCGAAAGTATTAAAGAATACGCTCATTCAAGTGTATTTTTATTTTACTCATTTCACGTGCAGGCACGTGCAAACATGAGCATGGTGACCATACATTCTTGTAGAAGTCCATTACACCTATCTATGATCTAAATCCCACCCCGTTTGGTTAAAAACCAAGGGAGTAATAGCTGTTTAACGTTTCAGCCAATCAGATTGCAGCGTACATACACGCACATGTATGTACTAGTATGTGCATGATGACCATACCTTCTTGTAGAAATCCATTATATCTATCTATGTTCCAAATCCCATCCTGTTTGGTTGATAACCAAGGGAGTTATAGCTATTTAAAGTTTAAGCCAATCAGATTGCAGCGCACGTGCATGCACGTGTTTTTATGATAATTGCTATATATCTTGTTGTAGGATATCCTACTGCATTGCTATGTTCAAAATGTCAAAGGATTTCGTCAAAAAACAAGAAAGATATTGAGACTTTAGTTTCAGCCAATCAGAGCGAAGCACACATGCATGCGCGTGAGATCTTGCTATTTTGACCATGTCGTATTGTCTATGCTACTAATATATTCTTATATTATGAGTTTCAAAGCATTACGCCTATATCAATTAAATCGGTCATTTCACGTGTTGCGCGTGCACGCTCTTGCAAGCACGTGCGCTCAAAATGACCTTCGTTCCGCAAATTTACATAACATGTCTACTGACCCTAAAGAGGTTTTACCTAAGTCGGATGTGTAGTTTACAAGATCATTCTTGTACAAAAAAGTACCCAGGAAGAAGAATAATAATAATAAGAAGAAACAGAGTAAAAACAATATGTTCCCCAACTTCGTTTGGGGAACATAATAAGTCTGCTAATAACGGAGCGCAATTTGTACCCAATTTCAATCGATTGTTGGAATACCTGGTCTCCAAAAACCACATAGATATTGTCAATCAGAAACTCAAGCATCTTCTTGGTGTCAACTTCAGAGTACTTATGTGTGCAATCAGAATCTGTTTTGAAAAATAATTTTGCAAATGACCAATGACGAGGTAAGTAAATTTACGAGTTCCATTTTTATTGAAGAAACAGCTGTCAATGATATCAAAAAGCTTGGATTTTAATTTGTCGTGGGGAATTGTTGTGTATAAAGTTGAAAATTAATAAGTTTTTAAGCTGTTGATTTTTGTCTTGTGATTTCAAATTGTCCAAAGTTTTTTTGAATTTTTTAGTATCCACGTCTTATTCACACCACTTCTTGAATATATAGTTGCACAGTACTCTTGAAGTTTTTTCTTCATTGCTGTCGATATCTTAGTGAGGAGTAACGAAAATGGCTTGGTTGAACATTTACTGGAATCTGCAATGTATCTTTGTTTTTAAGGATTCTTATGAAGTTTCGGAATCCAATATAAATAATGTAAACCCTGAAAATACTAATCTTAAGCAATCTTTAAGGTTATTGAAATGCAAAATCGGCAGTATATATTTTTTAAATTGACTATGACTGCCCTAAATGGACCTTCAGTAGTACTAATATTTCTTGGTCATAATCAGCTGTATACAAAGTTTGTTCTCTAGATACTGATTCAATAAAAAATTTGTATTCTCCGGAGAAACTTCTATCAACTTTGTGACCTTCACCTTATCTTATGAAATCTGTTCTAGAAATATCTTACCTAATGACGATCACAATCAACCATGAGGACAGTATATTGATCTCTGGCACTTACTTTTTTCAATATACAATTAAATAAGTATGTTATGACCAAGAATTTTAACTTTTATCCCTGTGACCTTGGCACTATTTACATGACCAAAATACAGGGTTGTTTCACTGCCTCTAGTAATAATTAAACAGCCTTTATATTTAGAACATGCATTAATGAAAATAATGGTTATTTATATTTTAAAAGCATATCTATAGTTCAAATTGCATTATGCTACAGTTGGAATATATACCTTCCAGTCAAAAACTAATTTTGACTATTTAGATAATTCCATCATAGAAATATGATTGAAAAAAATTATATGAACATTTGTACGGTTTAGGCCTTGAACATATCTAAATGACTTTTGAGCTCTGTCAAAGCAAATCTCTAAATAAAAGCGAGCTTAATTTCTATCAATTATAAACCTAAGACTATTTTCTTTGTTACTAAGTCATTTTCAAAAAGTAATTTAATAAACTTAATAATCATAAAAAAGGCAAAAATAACATGGGGCAAATATAACCCTGTATTGTATAGAAAATAATTTGTTTGTCGAAATTCAATGTGCACCGCACTTAAGCAACTTCTCTTTCGTAACTTGACTGATTTTGGTTATCGGTCTATAAATCGACATCCAGTCTCTACTATATGAATCTTTTTCTGACAATTTAAAAGGATCCTGGTTGTATTTTGCTTTTCTGCACGCTGTTCGAACATTTTTAAACCCCTACATAGTTTGGGCATTTCATATATTTATACCCCGCTTGAAGTACAGGAGGGTATATTGTAATCGGGATGTCCGTCCGTCTGTTACACTTTGGTGTCTCTCATCCGCAACTCCTCCTATATACAACAGAATAAAATTTGATGAGACTTCATAGAATCTTTATTACAATATGTCATTCTGATACATATTTTGGGTTTCCCATAGCGAAAATGGACACTGACATTATATTTATATGGGAGTCGGGGTACCATTCAATAAGATCATTGCTCACATTACCTCTAGTTTATTCAGAGTGAATTTACGTGATTATGGGATGACAATGTTAATATAAAAAATAGTGTTTCTTGGTTTTCTGGAGTTAGCCCACGAATCATTGATAATCCTTCCTTCCTTTGTGTGTTTTGTTTTGTTTGTTTGGTTTTTTTTTGCTGTTTAACGTCCCTCTTGAGAATTTTTTACTCGTACGGAGACGCCACAACTTGACGATGGAGGACTACAGATTTTGGTCTATACTCGACACTCATGGCAATTGAGCACTGGGGGATTTAATCGTTCCAGCTACTGCGACACTGGACGTAGGTTTATACGGTCTCATCCAAAGGACCGATCTCCAAGTCCCACAGTGGAATTCGAACCCGCGTTGTAAGGATCAACTCCTTATTTCGCGACTCCATACAAGACGTTTTTACCAACTGCGCCACAAAGGCGACGATAATATCTCGTAAATAAACTTCATTTAGTAAAAAAAAACTTATATAACATGGTCCTTGGTGTAGTTTGAGAATTTTTCGTCTTTTCTTTGCAATTTGAAATTTGTTTAACTAGAAACTTTCACTCACACACATGCATAGCCCCGTGGGGATCCGGGTTAGAATAGGTCCTCGGTACCCTCTTGCTTGTCGTAAAAGGCGACTAAATGGGGCGGTCCTTCGGATGAGACTGTTAAAACCGAGGCCCCGTGTCACAGCAGGTGTGGCACAATAAAGATCCTTCCCTGCTCAAAGGCCGTACGTGCCGAGCATAGGCCTAAATTTGCAGCCCTTCACTGGCAATGGTGACGTCTCCATATCAGTGAAATATTCTGGAGAGGGACGTTAAACAATATACAATCAATGAATCATCACACATATGCATATGTCATTCAGAGGTCAGATGAGACTATTTTCTACTTCAATCATGTCGGTAACTTCTAGCACGATTGAGAAACATTACCTCTTGTAGTCTACCAAGTGTATAGTTCATCATATAATGTAAACTTTATTTTTGAAGTCAAGCACGTGTTTGTCTTTGTATTTAATCCATTTCGTTTCCTATATTAGAAGTTACGTTCTGCAAAACACTACAGACTTTCTGTTGGTATAGCATTTTACACATCAGTTTACAGAGAGGCACTTTTTAACATAATACAAATTAACAAAAATTCAGTATGAAGTTTATAAAAAAAAAGTTGTTAGCCAAAATATTAGTATATAGACGATAATTTTGTTTATATACAATGAAAATCTAAATAAAAAAACCACTTAATAAAATAAAAAAAGTATATAGACGATAATTGTACCTCAAATTGTCTTATAAATGAAAGGCTTAACTTCCAAGGGTTCTATTTCAGTCCCCCCTAATGTCTTATTACTTCGTGATGTATCCCCTGTAGAAAGTACAGATATAAATGTGAGATGTGTGTATATTGCTGGGAAACCTCCAGAAGCGAAAGTTTTCTGGTCCAGAATAAGTGATCTCAGTTTCAGACAGGAAGGAGGTACACTGAAACTTACAGACATCAAGAGGAATATGTCAGATACCTATACTTGTACTGCAGAAAACACTTACTACTCTGGAAAGAAAGGACGTGACAGCCAGTCAATGAAAGTGAACGTTTTATGTAAGATTTCTATTATGTAATGCTTTAATTCTTTTTTTTTAATTTGTTGAAAATCATGATTTACACTTTTAGATCCGCCTTATGTTTTACACAAAGATGTATTTAATGTAATTGAAATCTACATTGCGTAATACTCTTAAATATGCCTCATCTCATGTCTTACTTTATGGTCCGCTTTTTATTAAACTTTCAGACCCACCTTATGTTTTACTCATGGAAAACTTAACACTAGTTCAAGAGGGCTCTAAAATGAAAATAACTTGTAACTTTACTCCTGGAAACCCTATCGATACAGAGGTTTTCTGGACAAGGTCACTTGACAGCTTCCGGGAGAACGGAACGACACTAACATTAACAGATGTACAGCGTAACAGTGCTGACAACTATACATGTACTGCAGAGAATACCTACCCATCCGGAGCAAAAGGACGTCACAGTCAGACAGTCAGCATTCAAGTATTATGTAAATATCCCAATCTTACTGATAACAGATATATAAACATAGATAAAAATAAGGGGTAATTTAACTTATAATCTTTAACAAGTTATAGCTAAGCCTAAATTTTGGTCATTTAAGAATTTTAAGACATTTTTAGATCCACCAGTCAATGAACCAATTAAAGACGTTTTTCCTGTAGAAGGCACGGATCTAACGGTGGAGTGTAAGTTTATACATGGGAATCCTATTCAGACCGCGGTATACTGGACCAGATCACAGTCGGGTATTTTTAGACAGAATGGGACAACACTTAGCTTACCTAGTATACAGAGAAATGCTTCAGACACATACACATGTACAGTAGAAAACAACTACCCCCCGGGATACAGAGGGAATCATAGCCAATCCTTCAGAATAAAGGTTCAATGTAGGTAAATTGCAACATCAGAGCTAATGCTTCAGAATAAAGGTACAATGTAGGTAAAGAAGAAGGCATAGTTTTAGCTTTATTACGCCTAAACAATGTAATAACATCAAAAAGTTTTGAAACTGGCTTAAATATTAGTTAGATGAATGACTCTGATAATCAGTAAAGAATATGGCATGAAAGTTTACCATTCTGCAAATATGACGTCATTAATGTGAAGCATTTCTCTATTTTCAACAGAAAAAGCCTCAAAATGGCACATTTCAAGGGTGATTTTCCTTTAGAAAACAGTGTCCACAGCCGTCGCCCACGTTATTTTTTTTTATTTTGTGCAGAATTCAATAACAAATAACATATCTCAACATCTTTGTGGGCGATGCCTGTGGACAATGTTATCTGAAAGAAAATTCCATTGAAAATTGGTGTCTTCTGCAACTTTTTAAGAAAATACGCGAAAATGCACATGTTTATGACGTCATAATGAGCATTTAAAAACACATGTTAGAAAAATGACTTTTATGATTTTTCTGCATTGAATTTCAATTATTTAGAAAGAATGGGTTTTCAACTTTTACACCAGTTTTATTTTTTAGAAAATGACAAGGCAAAATTAGTATAAAACCATACCTTCTTAGTTCTTCCAACATCAGAGTTCAAGCTTCAGAATAAAGGTACAATGTAAGTAAATTTCAACATCAGAGCCAATGCTTCAGAATAAAGGTACAATGTTAGTAAATTTCAACAACATAACCAATCCTTCAGCATATAAGTACAATGTAAGTAAATTTCAACATCAGAGTTAATGCTCCAGAATAAAGGTACAGTGTATGTAAATTTCAACATTAACAAATCCCTAATAATATAGGTACAATGAAAGTAAATTTCAGCATCATAGCCAATCCTTCAGAATAAAGGTACAATAAAGATATATTTTTACATCATAACCAATTCCTCAGAATATAGGTACAATTTACTAGTTAAATATCAGCATCATAGCCAATCCTTCAGAATATATGTGCAATGAAGATATCTTTTTACATCATAACCAATCCTTTAGAAGGTACAAAGTAGATAAATTTTAACATCTTAGCTAATCCTTTAGAATGAATTTTACCGTTCACGGTAGCTCAGTCGGTAGAGCGCTCGCTTCGTGATCGGGAGATCGTGAGTTCGTATCTCGTCCGCGACTGACCTAGTCGTTAAAATAGGTATCAACTGTTCCTTCGCCATGCGCTCGGCACTTTGAAGTGAAAGTTGCGGGTCCTTCGGATGAGACCTTAAAAACCGAGGCCCCGTATCAGCGACAGGTGTTGGCACGATAAAGATTCCTCACTGCTCAATGGCCCTGAGTGCCGAGTAAAGGTCAAAATTTGAAGCCCTTCACCCGCATACGGTGACGTCTCCATATGAGTAAAAAATTCTCGAAAGGGACGTTAAACAATATACAATCAATCAATCAATCAGAATGAATTTAAGGTACAATGCAGGTAAATTTTGAAAATATCTATTTTATTTTTCTTATCTCAATTCTCTATATCTTTTAAATTCTTTTTCAAGTTTGTTAAGCTAGATTCATAGCTAGATGAAAAACAATGATCGGAAAACAACGGGAATATCCATTGTCAATTCAGTGTATAAATAACTATGTTCTAACATAGTTTTACTTACATAAATATACTAACAATTAGCATGAAAAATGTCAGTGAGCATTTGACTCAATGATACATTGTATTTGCTGACGAGGTCATTATATCGACCATAGAACTTACGAAATGATGACTTTGAACAAGACTGCTATTATTATTTATTCATTGTTTTGTTTTTTGGTAATTTACTTCATTTAGAAATTGTTCATACGTAGAGCATACTCTTGCTTATCGAATCAAATGAGATATATAAAGTCCGTATGCTGGTGATGAAGGTATATTGATGCATTAGTAGGGGAAGTTGACGATTATGAAATTAAAGTCATCACGTTTATTATAGAGTTTGGACGTTAATTTACCAGTAATGTCCTTTTCATGTAAAATATCTTAATATGAAATAATTGTGTCAGACTCTGTGGCATCTTTTATCTCAAGCTCACCGGGATATATCGTATCGACATAAGAATTGAAGTTACCATTGTTATTTGACAATAGGTCGTCGATACATTTAAATGTCAAGTTCAAACCACAGCAAGTGTTTTCTTCTTTTCACACATAAGAATTTACACACATTCTTCTGCATATGATTGCAAGAAAAGGTCTGCTATTAACGTGGCGCAATTGGTACCTATGAGAATTCCAATAGATTGTTGGAAGACGGTCTCCAAAAACCACACAGATATTGTCAATCAGAAACTTAAGCATCTTTTTGCTCTTAACTTCAGAATACTTTGTGTACAATCACAATGTTTTTAAACAAAATAATTTTGCAAGTATCCAATGACAAAATAAGTAAATTTACAAGTTTCATTTTTATTTAAAAAAAAAACAACTGTCAATGATATAAAAAAAAGCCTGGACTTTAATTCATCGTGTGGAGTGGTTGTTTATAAAAGTGAAAGTCGAACGTTTTTAATCTGTTGATTTAAGTAAAACATTGTGATTTCAAATTGTCCAAATGTTCGTTGGAATTTTTATGTATCAACATCTTATTCACACAACTTTTTGTAGATATTTTCACACAGTACTTTTGAAGTTTCTCCTTCACTACTGATAATATATTAGTAAAAAGTAAAGAAAGATGTTTGGTAGAAGATTAACTGGAACCTGCAAGTATCATTCTTTAAGAAAAAACAACAGTCAATGATATAAAAAAAAGCCTGGATTTTAATTCATCGTGTGGAATGGATGTTTATAAAAGTGAAAGTCGAACGTTTTAAATTTGTTGATTTAAGTAAAACATTGTGATTTCAAATTGTCCAAAAGTTCGTTGGAATTTTTATGTTTCAACATCTTATTCACACAACTCTTTGAAGATATTGTCGCACAGTACTCTTGAAGTTTCTCCTTCACTACTGTTAATACCTTAGTAAGAAGTAAAGAAAGACGCAAGACACAGCGGGTTCGAGTTAATGTTCTAACATTAACTGGAACCCGCTGTGTCTTGTTTGTAAGGATTTTATGAGTTTAACACACTTCCTTCATCAATATTTATGAAAAGGCTAAATTCTTAATTGCAGTTCTTATTTAATTGTTATGCAGTTACAACGACTTATTTAGTAAAAGTATGTGGAAAGATTTTTTTTTTCAGTACACACCGTATTTATCAAATCATTTAATCATCTTGTTTCATATTTAAAAATGTCACCGTTTAAATAGCGTGAAAATTTTTATTTTTGCATAGGCGTCGGAACCGGGGGGGGGGGGGGCTAGGGGGGGGGGGGGCTTCTTTTTTGCTTCTCAGGTATTTTTAAAGGCACCAAAAGTTACAAATTTTTTTTTTTAAACTTAGCCCCCCCCCCCCATTCAATTTCCTTCCGACTCCAATGCTTTGTATGAGAAGAAGTTATCAAGTTTCTAAAACTGTCGACATCAACTTCGTGAATTACTCGGATAACAAAAAAAAATCAAGCTCGAAGACCCAATCATACAATACAATGTTTTGAGCAGGGCAAACATTAACTTGTAAAAACACAGATTGGATCAGGTGCATGTGAGAAGTAAGCATCTAAATAAATACAAGAAGAAAATTTTCGAGGAAAGATGGTTCCACTTAAATTCGGAAAAATAAATGTCTTGCAAATAAAAAAAAATCACCTTAAGTAGTGGGACAGTTGTTGACGTTTTTTCTCACTTTTTAGATGTTCCTGATTTACATATTAGTCCAGGAAAAATTTTAACAGCCATGGCGGGACAAACAGTTGTCATGAGATGTTATGTAGATGACCCTGAATTGACACTATCATATACCTGGAGAAAAGACGGAAACTCGTCAGTAATCAGTGTGAATTCATTTATTGTTTTTGAACAAATAGTTACATCAGATGAAGGGAATTATACATGTACAGTCTCAAACAGAGCAGGAAATAATTCAGTTTTAGCCAGTGTATCCGTACAATGTGAGTGAATAATTAAAAAAAAAAATAATGTGAGAACTTTTAAGCGAAAGCAAGCAAAAATATGTTTACTATAAATGCGCAGATGTCATTTTTTAAAAAATAAATTATACATATTTCATCTATCTTTATCTCTGCACATACAGTTACACCACTAGAGCCGACACAAGTGATGGTTGTCTGTGGAGACATTTATGCTGACATCATGTGGACCTTTACTTCTGTGTCATCTAACAATCAGAGCTCCCTGGTACAATTCTCACCTAAATCTTCATTCGTAAACACTACACAGGGATTTCAGGATACAACCAAGGCAGGATTGTTTGCTTCCAGAGTTGGGAATTTAGAACCAAGTACCACGTATGAGTTCAGAATTCTGACAATCAACAAGCACGGGACAACATACTCCAGAATTTTTTTCTGCATGACAAGTGAGAGATACTTCGACAGCCTGTATTGACATTTTCGCCACTCTTTGAGTAATTAAGACATTTACTTTATTAGATTTTGTTGTCTAACCTTTATAGGATCTGCTTCTTCAACGAAATCTGAAGCGACAATTCTCGGAGGCACCCTGGGAGCATTTCTTGCCATAGCCATTGTTACTGTGTTGGTCCTCATCGCTATTTTGATGAAAAGAAAGTTCAGTGGTAAAAGTATTTTTTGGTATAGCCTTGCTGATGAATGCGTTCGTTACATTTGTAAAAGATGACATGCTACTCTTTACATTAAAAGAGTTAAACTAGTATAATTATTTTTAGGTGATCAAAAGGAAGAAACATCCCGGTAGGTATGATAGATTTAAAATATTTAAAAAGGCTATTAAAACAAATACATCAGGTCTATGCAATCACTATGCTCTAAACAAAGTAAGACAAATATTGTTGCTTAATTTTAAAAATATTTTTGAGCCAATTATTTAGTTTTGTAATTCATTTAGATTTTGAGATGATGTCAATTTCGGAAAATAATTTTTATAATGCGAAATTAGTTGATTAATGAATATTCTGTTTAATATGTCGCTGCACGTTTCTATGAAGGGAGAGCTGTTGTTGTTTGATAAAAGAATGACGATCTAAAAAAAACACAGAGCACGTTTTATTTTCATGTAAAAGTTTCAGAACAGACTCTTCATCATCAGAATATCAACGCTAATAAAAAAAAAACAATTATTGTCCATCAGATTTCCAATTTCTTGTGTCAAGAGCTGGTCTCCTAGACTGTTAAGATGTTGTAACTATTTCCATTTTTAATTTTTTTTTCTGTGATAACTATATGAGGAGTTGATTTCTTGATAATTCTACCGTTATGTAAATTAGGCAGGTCGTTAGGGCGGGAGCTAGGGAGGCCTAATATGCATGCAAACTCATGCGCATTTGTCTTTTTGTCCTACGCTAAGGAAGTCTAATATGCATGTACATCTCTTGCGTCGGCCTTTGTGTTTGACGCCAGTGGGCGAGGACTGTTGAAATTGGCATGAGAGTCCTCGTGTAATTTAACTCTATGTCTACATTTTTTAAACTAAAATCTACAATTTTATTTCCCAATGAAATGGAAATATAAGTAATCACTGTCTAGTTAGTATTTTATGCCACGGACATCAACGATAGTGGGGCACATGGGATCATTTATGCATAACGGACTTATCCCATGTTTGAACTTTCCCACTATCGTTGATGCCCTGGCATACTATACTAACTACACAGTGATTCCTTAAGCATCATCAACAAACCTTAAATATCAACTTCATAATAATTGCGTGTCGAAGGATTTTTTAAATTAAAAAACTGTTTTTGACAACCCATCAAATGCAATGAAAATTTTCTTATGAACTGTAAATTTCAATTCATGGTAAAAATAGCAAAAGTGAAACAAATGGAGATAACGAACAGTATTCAAAATCAAAACTCCATAAACAATACAAAATAGGAGCAGAGCAAACACGGACCTCCAAAATATAAGAGTTGGGATCAGGTGCCATGGAGAAGTGAGGATCCCCTACCGACCCATCACAACCACCGTGTGCTCCTTGAAATGATTGGGAAATTACGGAAAAATCCGTTGTCAATTCAGTGTATAGATGTAGGTAGAACATTTCAAAACAATGATAGTTATCAACATCGTTTTGAATCATAAATTATTTAATACAAACACATACAGGTAATTGTTTTCATGTACCATTTATAATTTAAGTCAAGGACGCGACTATGAGATGCAAACTGTACAGAAACTGGAAGAGCATAGCTATCAAGGATTTGATACGATTTGTACAGGTAAATACAACATAACATTTTAATTTAATGTAGCTTTGTTTGTTCGATCCCATAGTAATGATACACTATTTATTCTAAATTTTAGGAAGTACAGAAGTGAGTAATAGGTACGTGTACAGGTATTTTATAACAAGAAAAAAAAATAATGATACTGTTGCTCACATTTGAAAAGAAATTATTTTAGATGATGCATATGAAAGCATACTTTCAGTGCCGAATATTGTGAAGTCGTGCAAGCATCTTCGCAAGAAGAACTCGGAGTAACTAGCAGAGCTGCAGAGAAGGAAGGTTAAAAATATACATCATAAAAGCAATAAAAGAATAGAAAAATGATAATCATTAAATATACACTGTATTCATTTCATTTGTACAAATAAGTGACAAGATGGTTTAAAATACAACCATTTTTTTTTCAGGAAATACAGACACGTATGAAAACTTCTGACGTCGTGTTCGACTTCAGTTAAGAAACTAACAATCTACATTTGACTTTTTAAAATCTTTAACTTTATTTTCCATTGATTCGAAAATGTCCAATGTTATTACTTAAATGAATTCCAAATTTAATTGTCTCTTTCAGTGTCACTTTACAGTAGAGGATAAAGTTTACTTCAAATCATTGTATTTCATATTTAAATCCTTTGTGGAGACAATCGTAAATTTACTAATGTAAACTTAATTGACGGACAGTTCCGTCTACCTGTTACATAAGGCTCAACAGGGAATGCTTACTCCTCCTATGAATTTCGTTCTTTATGTTCTCTTCACATATTTGTATTGTTTGTAGATTTTTATAGATTGATCACTGTTCGTTTACTTTACTTTTTGCATGCTCTTATTATAAAAATGTATTTAAAAGGTTAAGCACATACATGTATAAATCGTAATAAACATTTTATTGTAAGAAATGAAACAACATTGTGTTATTGTGTGTCTATCTTTGCTTATTTTTATATGTTTTTTTTTTTTTATTCCAAACGTGACCAAACAGAACATATAGCTATGATGCATCCTGTAAACATAAGTCTATTTGCATCACGGACATACAGAAGGAAGATACTGGACAGGTTTCTTTCAGGATTGCTGTTACTAATTACATGGAAAACGTTGCTTCTATATAAGATATTTTAATGATTTTCTTAGCAACAACGCTTGGGTTTTAATTGGTTGTTGCTGTTTTCACGATTCGCATTTTTCAGGGAATTTTCAAATAAAGCATTTTTCACCTTTAACTCGTCGTACATTTTAAATAATATATTTATCACTATGTTTATTAGCACACCTGAATTGAAAGCTCACGTGAACCTTTCCGATAAAATTTTGTCCGTTGTATTAACCAAATTTGCCAAAATTATCCTTCGGTGAGAGGTTTTCATGTTTGTTTAAATGAAGGAGCATACTACCCTCTTTTTAGGGGAGATAATTATGAATAAGTTTTTAAAAAGTTGTATCCTTTAAAATCTTCTCAAAAACCTTTGGACATATATGAATCTTATTTGAAGCCAACTTTCCATAGTACATAGCACTATATATTCGCTATATAACCGTCTAACTTTTTCAATCCAGGGATGGGGATATTACACTAGTAATACTGTAAATTCCTAAATATACGCCTGGAATTAATTATCGCGTAATTGTGGTTTTTATTGTATTTATCTACTTCACCCGCTATTTTATATAATTGAATTTTGCTCAAAAGTGTCAGTAAATACGCATTTTTTAAGCAACAGTAGTGAACATTTTTGTTGAATTCTTTTCATGTTTATTTAATAGGTCACCCGAGTTTCTCAGGTGACTTATCACAGCCCAGTCTGCTCTATACATATCAGGACCGGGCTGTTCTACACATATAAGTTTAAGTGTTGGTATTTTGGGATTGAGGTGGGAGAAGTTATTCAGAATTAACGGTTTTCTAAACATAAAAACGATTGTTAATCAGAATATTCTTCCCTTTTATGAATTAAAAGAAACAAAATATATTTACTTCCATAAAGCGAATATGTAAAATATGTATGTTTTTCATATTTTTAAAATATATTTAAAGTTACTTATCATTTTCAATCGAAAAAACGACATGTCCCTTTTTTAGAAAATCGTACTTTACTTATCGCATAAAAAAACGTAACTTTACGTTCATGTTTTATATCCTTCAAGTGAAATATATTTTTGAAACAGATGATGCATGTGTCTGATTTTAATTTAAATTTAATGCAGCCAACAGTTACTTGAGGAATTGATAAAGTTTAAAAGGGTATCGTTTTTGTTCGATTTTCATCCAACTACAAGTTTTCAAAATATTCTCGACTACCATATCCATCATTTAGATGCATTCCTTTTTCACAAGTATCGAAACGGTTTGATGACCAAGACTTATTTCCATTGTTTAATTTATTTATTTCCCGGGCAACAATTGATGGTTACATCAATGTTTTCTTATTACAATCTGTTCTATCCGTTATCATACATATTTTTGCAATCATTCGATTATACTATATAAACTTTTGAACATTTCATTCTTCTTCTCTGGAATTGCTGAACCAATTTCAACCAAAGTCTAACATCTATTGGTAAAAGGGAAACAAAAATTGTGAAATTTATGACCCCTGCACCCCATCCCTCTTGGCTTGAGGGGTGGGGCTATTAGCCTCTAACGACCATAATTAATGAAATCTTTAAAAATCTTCTTTATTTCTGGACAGCATGCAGTCAAACTGTTGCATTGGCATGATTGTAATAAGCATAGAGTCCTTTTACAAAAATAATGAATTACATTCCCCCAGGGTCAAGGGTTATGCCGCTAGGATGGGAATTTGTTGATTACATAGTGAAAATGTATTATTTCTTTGAAAACTTTTCCCCACTCCTTGGTTTTAAGTTGATGAAATGTGTACATAGTTATGATGAAGAGTTCTTCCTTCAAAAGGTTAATTTTATGCATATGGTCCTTGGGTCAGAGGTTCTAGAATTCTAGGAGGGGCTCTATTGATTATATGGTGAAAATGTATTTATTCTTTGAAAATTTTCTTCACTGCTCCTGGATATTATGCCAATGATATAATTTTATATTTATGATTGGAAAGTGTGTCTTCCCAAATTGGGAATTTCATAGCCCCTGGATCAGGGGTTCTGGTGAAAGGGCGGGCTAAAATAATTATAGTGAAAATGCCTGAATTCTTCACCTCTGCTCCTGGGTATTAAACCAGTGAAACTTGTACATAGTTACATCAAGAAAGTATGTTTCTTCTCAAATCTGAATTTCATGGCCCCTGGATCAGGGGTCTCTGTGTTTGGGTGTGCTCTATGGATTACATCGAAAAAATGCATTAATATTTTGAAAATCTTTTCTTCGGCTCCTTGATATTAAACCAGTGAACCTTTTTACAAAGTTTTAAGTAGGATGTCTCTTTCTGAATTGTACATTTCATGGCCCCTGGATCGAGGTTCTGGTATTAGGGCGGAGTTTTATTGATTGAATAGTGGAAATGCATTTATTCATTGAAAGTCTTTTCCTCTGATCTTGGATGTTAAGCTAACGATATAAGTACATAGTTATGACAAGGAGGGTACTTCTTCCAAAATTGTTTCATGGCCTCTAGTTTCACAAATCAACCAAATTCAATTGCTGGAAAGGTATTGCATGATACATGTACTCAGGTAACCTATAGGGCCCCTTGGCCTCTAGCTTCATGTTTGTTTCTAAAAATTTTGTATGTTATTTTATTTTCTATTTTCAGAAGATATGAAGTCGGATTAAGTAACTTGGAAAATTAGTAGAATTACTTTACCATGAGATTTCAGAGAGAAGTCATGCATGAATAATGAAAAATCTAAAATCTAAGATCTTGTATTGAATCCTTTGAGTCTTATAAAAAGAAAGAGTTTAATATGCTTTTAATATTTGTTTATTTTATGTAATTCTGCATTGAAGAAAAACATTCTTGCTGAGCAAATCATTATGAAGTTTCTTCATTGCTTACATTAAAATTATGGGTCGACAAAATTTCCTGTAAATCCATGGGCACCAGAATCTCCATAGCCCCGGACGATCAGTCCAAACGGAGAATCAGTTGTTGATTCTATATTCAATCTACCAGGGGAGACCTCGACAGTAGCAATGGAGTATTCGATACTTTTAACCACAACCTTGCTCTCAAAACGAACCATATCTGAAGAAATAGCTTGGTCGTTCAGTCGAAGATCTGATATCGAGTTATTTCTAATCATGACTGTGATGTAGCTGTTGAGGTATCCATCAGGAATAGGGACTTGGTATTGACTTTTATATTGGCGAACTCCAGGAATATTAACCATGTACGAATTACCTGAGTTTGAAGTTTGCCTGACATAGTTGATAACCTGCAGAGGAAAGTTGAAAACATAAGGAGGATAAATGATTTCAGCATTGATGACTGTTGTCACATTAGCTAATGAACTTATTTCGTATGGTGCCCATTTATCTATTGAAATATTGTGCTTGGAAGCCCCTTTCGAAATCTGCACGTCCAAAGGACTACCACTAAGAGGATATGTTATTTGTATGAATGTTTCATTATTCAGAAAGTCAGGCGGTACAATGAAGATAGAGCCCCAATCAGCTAATGGGTGAAGCTGCTCCATTACTTGGCTGCCATACGAGTCAGGAGAAAAGTTAGGTCCACTTCCCGAAAATACTACAATAGGCTGGGAACGAGATCTTACCACACATCAAGTTAGGTCAGTGTTGTCTCCAATCTGTAATGTCTCCATACTATCCAAGGTTGTCTTAAAAAAGTCCCGGTGACCGAACTCTTGACCATTAATAGATATAGATGATCCGTTGTCGAGCATTTGAAATTCAAGCGAGACATCTGTGTTATTCTTTAATGCAGCTATACCAAATACGGTTGAATACGCGGTGTTAGAAACTAATCGTGGGACAGTAGATGGTATGAAATAGAAATATGACCATATCCCTCTTGTTGGAATGTCTTCTACTGGGAATATAAGAGAGCTGTCATCAGGTTCTGACGAGTCGTTGTCTAACAGAAAGACAGAAACTGGATCAGTTGAGCGAATTTTCACTGCTTTTGGTTCTTTCTGAAGAATAATACCTTGCATTTCTGCAGGGAGGGCAACTTTGCGTTCCGAGTTGAAGAAAAATATTTGATCGATATCATTTTTCAGTGTCGCATTTAGATTTTCTGAAGTGGAGATTTCTACCGTTGAAGAGGTGTTTGTTGTCAGGTAGATTGATATCGATTCAATATTTCTAGAAGCTGGATTCCACAGAATCGGCAAATTATATTCATAATTGAAAGTTCCGTTGAAATCTAGAAAAAGGATTTTAAAAATGATGAAAAATCAATGTATGAATTTAATTTAAAAATAGCAAAATTAAGTCATAAAATTAAGGATCAATCATTTACTTGTTCGGCAATTGTCAATATAGGTAGGAATAGTCACGTCACTTATACTGCATGAGTCGATACATGAGTAGGAGTGACAACGTGTTACATGTAGTAGGAATTCCACGTTACATGTACAGCATGTGTCTACATGCGTGGAAATGCATATTCAAAAGAATCTAGTTTGTCATTACCCCTGCAGTTCAGTCCGGACCACCCTTTGTTGCAGGTGCACTGGTACGAGTTCTCGTTAATTGTGCATGTCCCTCCGTTTTGACATGGTATAGAATAGCATGCATCTCTCTCTAGTAACAAAAAGAGGAGATGTTATGAATTACACTTGATTTAATTCATATTACATTTTTAACATAATAATGTTAAATATTTTCCTTTTTATTGCAGATGTATTTTAAGAGGCTTCAAAGGAAATGGAACAGAATTTTAAAAGCATAATTAAGGTTTTGATCGCTGTTTGTAAGATTTTAATTCACAATTTCAAAATTTTGAAGAAAAATAACAAATAAAGTTGTAATATTGTTAAAAGGAGACTTTTTCCAGAGTGAACATAGTTAAACATTACCTGCATAAAGTCTTAATATAGCTGCATAAAAGGTATTAAAATTTATATTTTGAATTCCACACCTTGTCAGAAGTAGATATGTATGACAATTATCTTTAACATAAAAAATGAAAAAAAAATAAAAATGATAAAAGGGGAATAACTTCTTGGCGAAATATGTCAAAGGAAAAGGGTCTAAACAAACTGGGACCCAGAGACACAAGATGTCAGGTACCACAGAGGAGGAAGCATCCCTGCTTGCCTAACGAATTTCATTTTTTTTTTTAATCTTAAAACATGATTTAAAACTCAATTTATAAATATCACGTTATGATATCACGTTACATGACGGTTAAAGTTTATCGTTTGTATATCTATATATTTTTACATTTGCTTCCCTACGTATGGAAAAAATGTTATAAATTGGTAATTATGTTCAAGTATCAACTGTCGGTAAATTCCTCTTTAACAAGTGTCTGTCTATACTATACAAAGAATGTATATGTTTTAAAGGTTAAACTTATCAGCATTTACAGAAAAGTTTCAAATAAAAAACACGAGAAAGATCTTGCACCTTAAACAATATTCACATAAAACAAAAGTTATTAATTCTCTGTAAAAATAAATGTAAAAATTGTTAATTGGTGTCTATATTCATATCAGTCATATTTCATTTATGATTTGATGTTGAAATAATTCTATTAGCCCCTTTTATAATTGCCTACTACAAAAAATTATAGAAGGGAGTGCATACTTAAACTTTAAATTATCACGTGACCATAAAATAGAGGGGCCGAAAAACAGCCTTATCGAAACTCCCCTTTTATAAAAGGGGAAAAAGAGGACATAATCACTTAAACACAACTGTACAATGTGTTTGTGCAAATTTAAAACGAGGCAATTTTCTGCGAGCGAAAACGACTAGGGGTGAAAATGGCCCAGTATTCAGCACTTGAGATGTACCAAGAAATTGGAGATGCCTTTTTTTTAAACATTTTTTTTTATAATTGGAGCAAAATATTTGAAATTATTTTGGAGGAAAAAAATGTATGTATGTTTCCTCTTAAATGCTATGTGTAACAGTTGTGAAGCGATAATTAAATCATTAATAAATCTTACCTATTTTCTTGCAATTTTTACCGGTGTACGGTGGCCTACATTGTGTGTACTTTTTCCATCTGATGCAGACGTACCCTCGGTGACAATATGGTACAGGACGATAACACAACTCTCGTCTGCTTGAGCCTGATATAATCAAATATTACAGAATCTGTTTATTACAATATCTGTTTATTACAATATCTGTTTATTACAATATATGTTTATTACAATATATGTTTATTTTAAAGAATCGTTTTGAATCCCTCGATTCTGAAAACGACTGTTTGCAAGAATACCCTATAATATTATTGTATTGTTCATATTAGATCTATCTAAACATGGTAAAAAATTTACATATATCATGATTGTTTTTACCTGACTATATTTTTGCTAATGTGAACGGGGAAGGGGATGTAAAGCAAGATTTGCATGGGAATATTGTTATGTGCAAAATACAGTCTTGTCGGCATTGGTGCACTTTAGTTTTACACAGGAGATAATTTACTCTTGATGTTTTTTTTCAGTTGCCATGTGTAAATGTAGCAAAATTTACAAGAACAACCGAGTATTTATTGTGATAGAAAGTCCAAAAATTACGTTTAGAAACATTGAAACAAGAAGAGACATTGTCCTTCTAAGTTAAGTAAGTTCTCAGTATCCCTCTCGACTGAGGAGCAGATATCCGTAAAGACGTAAAGAAGTCTTACCGAGCAGGAAGCATTTTTGTTGTGGCGTTGGAGGAGAACACGACTTCTTCCCTGGACGACAAATTCTACCTCTTTTGCAGTAGGTATCAGACTTGTAACAGTCCTCTTTTCCTCCTGTTCAAATAAATACAATATAGACATTCCCCTGCGAAATGATCAAGAATAATTCTTGAACTTTTAAGAAAAGTTCATGAATTATTTTCTTGAATCAGCTCATGAATTGTTCATGAAGATCCCATGAAGTTAAAATTGGACACTCATGATTTCATGGATTTTATTCATGAAAACCAAGTTCAAGAATATTCAAGAATTATTTGTTGTTCATGAACAAACTTGGATTTTTTAAATGCCTGCAAAATGATCAAGAATAATTCTTGAACTTAAATTTCAAGAAAAGTTCATGAATTATATTCTTGAACTTTCAAGAAAAGTTCATGAATGATATTAATAGGTTCAATGCATTTTCATGAACTATTCATGAATAATTTGTAAAAGTTATTTAGGAATGTTCATGAACTATTCATGAATGTTCTTGCTTAAATAGTAAACAAAAATGTAATAAGTTATGCAAAATGAAAAACTGTAAAAGAAAATATTTTAATAGCATCTTAAAAGATTTCACAGAATTTTTGTTTTCCAATCATGGTAACAAAATCTTTGTTCAAGTAAACAACTCTGATAAGTGATAGCGATAATAAATAAACTATGTAGTTCATTCCTAATAAATTATGAAAAATTTCAATTCAAACACGACTCTTTGCAGAATCCTTAACCTTACTTGGTCAAGAGGAGAGTGGGTTCCTTATTCAGCGTATTTCAAAGCGTATGCCTAAAATGGAATGATTTTTAATCCAAGTCTCACTGTCTGGCAGAAAAGTGTGTTCAGCAATTAGGGCATCAGCTAAAAGGGCTTTCAAGGATTTTGAGCAGAGGTGGTCAAATAAAAAAATCTTATTGGCTTTCCCTGTGGAATTTTCAGAATTTCATCACTTGGATCCTTTGATCGATTACGATTCATATTTTCATTCCTTTCTTTTGTTTTTCTTCAAGAGCCTGGATTTTTTATATTCTTCTTTTTTTTTTTTGGCAGCCAGAGTTTTTTAATCTTCTGATCTCAACTCATTAACATTATCTGTGAACTGCTTCTCTTTTCCCTACAAGAACAAAGATTTTCTGAAAATACTCATAAATGTGAAAACTTGACTTGCATATTTGTTTCATTTAATTCTGCATCATAGGCACTGCCATATTTTAAAGCATTCCGAGCGGGAGTTTAGCCTGTTTCCCATGCCCGCCATGTTCAAGATATTATAGGTGAACAGGATGAATGTTTCAATCTTTAATTATTAAATGTAACGTAATTTGGTTGGATTCTTACTCATAACAAAGTTTGACAAATTTTTCAATAAAAAGGACATGACTGAACTCTTACAAATAGACAGTAACATCTTGACAAATATCTCACAGATTCAGCGATTGCCTCCATTTTTTTTGTAACTCACCACTATTATCTGCAGTTATGAAGTAAATTGATCCTCTGGACATTCCTTCTTCGTATTCTGTTATTTTCTTCAAAGGTTGACAAAGAATGACTACGCTAATAATCCTCCCATTCTACCGATTCACTTTCCAACGTCTCGCGCGTTTCAAAGTTTGCGCCTTTTAAAAAGTGTCATGCAGAGCTAATTAAGAAATAGTTTCGAATTGCCAAGATTTTTGTTAAACAAAAAATAACAAACACTATCTGAATGATTTTTCACTGAAATTAATTTTTTAAAATTAATATAAGTTATATCATTTATTGAATTGGAATTTTTTAAAATTATACCTGTAAAGCCATAGTTTCGTATTCAAGTATGGCCGCCTCCATATCAGAGGACAACAAATATCTCTTGGAACCACTCTCCCTCAAACTGAGTACCCTGAGCTATGAAAGTGTATAGGAGAATAGACTACAAAATACGAATGTGGTTCATGTCATAGCTTCTTCACAACCATGCAGCCTGTGCTGTATCATTTACACACGATGGACAGAAAAATGTGACTTTAGTCTTTATAACAACATCAAAATATAAAGCTTTACGACCCAAGAATGGTACGGTACAGTACGGACAAGAGATATAATTTTTTAGTTGTCAATAAATTTATGATACGTTTTTAGGAAGATTATGAAATTTTTCCTAGACTGTAAGTCTGTTTCATTTTCTTACAACTTGTTAAAAGTTTGACAAATAGAGAAAATTCGGTCGAACAAAGTTGTTTCGTGAAAAATGAGATAATTTAAAGCACAATTTTAATATAGCTGGCCAATTTGAATGATGAAGAAACATTAATTTAGTAATTCAATATGAGAATAAGATGCTGTCAATATTGATGCAGTGTTCTTTAAATTACGATCATAATTTAATTATAATCTCCCTTCTAGACAGTTCATAACAGAGTTTTATTATCCTGAAGAATCTAAGTTATCAATTACATAGAGTAGAAAATAGTGATTTTAACCTCTTATGTTCCCCTACTCGGCCCTGATCCCATACTTTCAAAATCAAAACAAAAGCATGACTGTTATTAATTAAATCAGGGGGTTGTTCAACAATTGCATCTGCATGCAAAAGTTGTATTATGGGAGTAATGAGTGTTTTCTGGCGATCGTTTGTGACAATTATTTTTACATTTTTAGTCTTCATGAAAATTCATGAACATTCATTACCTTGAACTACTAAGTTTTTTTCTTTAAACTGAAAATTACCAATATTCATATTTGTTCATCATTTGTTCATGAACTTTGAATTATGAATGTTTTCATGAATTTTATTCATGAACTACTTTTATGAACCTGTTAAGAATCCTTTAAGAACCATTCATGAACAATTATGAACAACTCATAAAGGTTCTTAAAATCATGAATATCATTTCGCAGGGGTATGATGAATAAGTATCTTACACTTTTAATAATTTTCATTTCTACCTTGAGCGTTGAAGCTGAAATACAATGTTTATATATCTGCATGCGGAACTTTCTAATAAGTGCTCATCCATTCAGTCTATTGTTGTTGACGCATGATATGATGTTGATCGCGAAAAGTTTTAAAATGTTGTTGAATGTTTTTGTTTTACTAACAGATTTAGGATATCAAATATAAAACCTACCTGTTTTCTTGTTTTTCTTTCCAGCAAGCATGATGGTGATAGCTGCACAAAGCTGAAATATTTAAATTATTAGTTATTAGCTTACTATCAATTTCAAACAAATCTTTTAGTCACTTCAATTAAATATATAATACACATATATTACCACAAAGAGTCGCAAAAACATCTTTCAGGACTTTCTTGTTCTGAGTACTGGAACTCGACTAAACAATACTGTTTTTCTTCTTTTATAATGTATATATTGATTCCTATTGGTTAAAAATATAATATCCAATCAGTTAAGGCCACACGCTTCAAATAGACAAGAACATTTTTATTCATAGAATATTGTAATGAAGACCAATATAATTTTTAAAAAAAAAAATAAATGAAATCTGAAAACAACAAACCGTAATTAAGTTCAGCATTCCAATTTAACACTGCCAATTTAGAACAGCAAAAAATAAACCTTTGGAAATAGGCAATGAAAAGGTGCAATGGATGATGAAGAAACCCCTTGTTCTCAGTTCACGCCCGTCATAACCCTTTTTTCATATACAGTTGTATAAAAATAGTTTTCAACATTCACACCGAAATCAGATTATTATTGCAAACATGGTTAATCTTTAAAAAGACAATATAATTTGAAGAATTTTGACATGTAGCCATCTATCGTCAAGTTAAAAGATTGAGACGTTTCGTGCGATCTTGGTGACTTTTCACGTAATAATGCTTTCAAAACGCTAAGAGAATGGACGTAATGTTTCTAATAGTGGTACTTTCTTGGTCGGTACCCTATCGCTATCTCTTTCTACTTGAAATAAGGTTTAAAAAGTCAAAGGTTATTTATGATTAAACTAATGAAAGTAGAGGGCGAGTGGAATTGTATACGAGGGTTGTCCCGTAAAATCGTGGACAAGTTGTCTAGTTTGAAAAATAATCATCACTACGTTCTGAAATTTTCACCACTTTTTAGTAGATAAATTATGAATATACATAGCAAATTTCAAATAGATATATGCATAGGTAAACAAATTGTGATATTTTATGTTATATACTGTATCGCCCTACGGCGCACGGATGATAACGTCAAAGTGTCTAAAACAGCGTCACGTTTCATCTTTGCTAAACTTAAAGTTGGATACGCCCCACTTAAATTAAGAAATTTTATTGATTTACATATGTGAGTATCTATAAGCAGTTAAGAAACCAATGTGGCACACTCATGCGATCTTCTGAATATTTTTTAGCAAGTTACAGACAGTATTCTCACCATCATTCAACTAAAAGAGAATCTCACATCGACGGTCGACAATGACAGCGTCCTTTGCTATTACAAATGGCAGTCTGTCCATATGTTTTGTACTATCTGGGGACTCGACCACGAAGACTTCACTAAGAAAACTTTCATTTCATTTATATACTAAAGATCTGGTGATATTTTTCATACTTTCTTTCTTCTGTATTCATTTAAAGTCTCTTAAGGCGTCATTACAACATCCTAATCTATCTGAACTGCTCTCCGGTGCGCCGTAACGTCATAAAAAGTCGGCATTTTTCGTGTATTGTGATTATCAGTTTCCCATTACAAATGCTCGGGAAACTGCCAAAAATTAACCAAATGCCTTGAAACTTTTAAAAAGACGACAGAATTGATTAAGGAATGGAATTAGGATAATTTTCATTCTAATTGTATGTATTGAAAACTTTTATTATGAATTAATTCTTATGTCTTCTCTAATATAACCTTGCTATTTTTACCGTGCGCCGTAAGACCGTACCTTGTGCACATTCAAGCAGAATAAAATCTTTGTTTTTTAATATATATTATCAAAAACATTATGATTCACTTAAATATGATGAATAAACATTTACTGAAAATTTCAGCTTAGTGCGCCCATTACTTTTCGAGAAAAACACTTTGTCCACGATTTTATGGGGCAATCCTCGTAGATATGATACATTTTGCTAATTGCTTGAAGGAGTTTTGTTAATTAAGTACAGATTAGTTAATGATTAAGAAAAAACTTTCTCATGGACAATCCCTTTTGACTATAAAATGCTTTGATATAATGTCAGAGTATTATGTACTTCATGGATATTTTAGGGTAAAGAAATTGGTCCTATTAGGGATTGAAATCCTAATTTTTTAAAGAAATCCAACAAACATTCTATAAAATGTAACATGAAAGAACTCTTCAATTAAGGTAAGGTTTGCGTCTCCCTCCAACTCATATTTTTTTTAATATGCACACATGCTATATATCAATTTATTCAGGGAGATTAACTTCATCATTTAATATGATTTTGAAAGATATTGCCCATCCCATTTTTTTAGTAAAAGACGCCAAATTTAACGTATTTCATATTTCACCTCGAATATTATTTTCATTGAAAAAATTGATTTATTTTATAAATTATCAAATTTTTATAATTAAAATGACCTGAATTAGTATAATTCATGCTTCTATTATTTAAACTTTTAATTTTCCGTTATTAAAAATGTGAAAATTTGGGTAAAAAAGAAGATTTTTCAATTTTCCTTGATAAAGTGAAATCGTTGCCATGGCAACAAAAATATAAAAATCAACGTTTTACATATCTACCGATTCCATCAAAATCCATGAAGTTATTAATTTGATCATTTTCATTAATTTGAACTAAAAAAATATGTATGTCCCCAATATTATTTCCATGGAAGCAGGGGCTATATTATGGGTTCGGAACATAAAAATCAGGCTTTTTCTACACTTTTAAAGACAACATTGATATCACCTTGTCATGGTGAATGTTAAAGACTAAATGTTATTTTTGATTTTGTTTTTAGGCATAAATTGGCCAAAAATATTCAAAATAAAACTCCTCCTGTGCTGCATGATGGTCTAAAAATTTATTCCATGGAAGAACTCTAGTATTTATGGCAATCTTTACATCTGAATATTCTGATGAAATTGTCCATGAATTATACTGCAACACCTTTAGAAGTACATGTATATGTATATAAACATACTTCAGAACATGTTGCAACTAAACCAATTAAAAGCCTATGAATTTGACCTCATGCTGATTTAGTTACTCCAACATTAGTAACTTCTAGACATCTTTGTAGCAAAATATCTTTAATCAGTTATGGCTGGTCACTGTCATTATACATGTATGCCATTTTTTGAGTGAAATGTTGTAAGCATTGCATCCACAAATCTGCTGTTTTTATAATTAAATGATTTCTTTACTTAGAAGAGTAGATATGCTATCTTTAAAGTAATGTTTGTTTGCCCTCTCTTGACTCAGGGTAAAATTATTGGGTCGGTAGGTGAGAAAATCTTCAACAACATTTTTTTAAGGGGGATAAGAGGAATAAAAAGAAAAAAGAAAAAAAAATACGGCCCTGCACTGAAAAAAAGTTTTCAGTCTGG